TTTTTTCATTCTTAGGAATGTCTAAATTCAGTTAAACTAGCAATTCCGTATTATATTTATAAATCTTTATAACATTATACAAAAATTAGATTTTTCTTAACAAATGAAATTTTGCCGGGAATGGGGCTTTAACGGAATTTAGACATTCCTAAGAATGAAAAAAATGTGAAATAAGACTGAAATTTGATTTTTTTTTTGTGTTCCACACAAAAAATAAATGCGGATGAATTTTCATGTTTGATTTTGCGATAGGTCGTGAGAAGAAATATCGTAGGCGCCGAAAACATTAGCCTATTCAACGCTTCTAGGCTAGGCCTAGACTTACCTCGATTTAGGTTCTGTTATCACACATAAAAACGGCCGACATGTTATTTTCCGTTGCTAATAATGACACTTGTGAAATATAATATTTCACAGGAATTATTTCAAATTTGTTAAAAAACTGATTCTGATTGAGATTTTGACACTTAAACAAACATATCTCAGCCTTAATCGAGCGACCGCATTGTGCGAGATGCGAAGTACAAAAACTAATCTCGACTGTATAAAGTATACATAAAAGCGAGAGTATTCCAGTGGATGCAATCTACAACCTCTGAACTTGCCTAGTAACAATGAATTCGTCGAGAAAATGGTAATATTTATGAGAAATAGTTTGTATTTCTCATTTTTTATATTCTTTTGCGTAAACCTAAAATTAATATTTTCTCATGATTTATAATAATTGGAGTAATGCAAATGCATATTTTATAAAATAAAAAATCAGTTTTTAGTGAAATTTTGCCGGGAATGGGGACTTTAAGCTTGGTTTCCATACAATTGACCCGCGCTATCACAGCTTTCGGTGATTCTGATTGGTTCGGTCGAATGGGAGCCTTCCCGAGTGCTTCGGGGACGCAGACGATTGCACTGAAAACATTAGTGTGCGACAGTGTAGCGATTTTAAAACCTGGCTATATGAATAATTTGGTCTTCACACAAATAGTTTACATCCAACCTGTCGCCAAGAGAGCACCTCTGAGAATCAGAAATCATAAATGTATTTTTTTTCTACAGATATCATAAATTTCATTGTTTGTAGGCTGTGACGCTCAGGATTGTCACTCGTCTATTTTCAAAAATTCTAATAAGTTTCAATTATTCAATAAAACCACCTCAGAAGGATAGCACATAATACAACTAACAAAGACCTGCTTTGAGAATCAACACCTTTGTTGCATTCACTATTACAAAATGTTTGAGTATCTCTTATATCAGATTACTGAAAAAAAAAAAAAAAAAAAAAGATTTAGGAGCACATAAGAGCTTAATTTTATAAATAAATTGCTATAGGAACGTATGAGTTAATTAAATTTGAAAAACAGGTCAGAGCATCTCGACTAGCTCAGTGGCGAATCCAAAAAAAAAAGTGGGGGGTGGGGGGAATTGGAAGTACTTTGACAGTTGGATGATGTATACCACCTCTGGCCCACCATGGTTGGGTCTAAGGTAAGAAAATTTGTGATTATGGCATCTCTATGGTCGGAAATTGCACTCTCAGCATAAAATTTGAGTATAATTTTCTTTATTTTCTTTTTTTTTACTTTATGTCTTTATTTTAAAAATATTTTGAACAATTTAGAGGGGGGTTAGGGCTGCCCCACCCCAGTCTTGAATCCACCACTGAGCCAGATGATCTGGCAATATCTTGAGAGACATCATTTTGAAACAAGTTAAAAGTTTACTTTGAACTGAAATACTTGAAACATGAGATTTAACACATAAACCAATTTACATGTGAGACGCTCTGCTTAATCCTGTCATGGTCATAAAAAGAACTCCGAATATACAAAAGAATTAGGCCTACTTTCACGGTAACCCTGTTTGTTGTAATAATTATAAACTTATTTGGCTCACAAATGTTATTAGTAATTTGTCAAAAAGTAAAGTTACTGTATGAGATATGTCTGTAATTATTAGTTAAGACGAAACAACCACGATATTGAACATAAATAAATTATTATAATTATATATGTCCCTTTACTTTATGTATAATTATGTATTCCTATAATAATTGTGCAGTACTAAAACAATTCAAAGAGTATAAAACTGCAAGAGGTCCGACTGCCCTTATTTTGTATACAGGATGGAACGTTATAAAAGTACTCCCACGAAGGGGCGTGTCCTTCATTTAGAACGTAAAAGGCGTTCGTATCGAACGCGTGCTGCGTTTCGAATTCCAGCATGCGTTCGATATGAACGCACTTTACGTTCTTTTAAGGGCCACGCCCCTTTTGGGTAGTACTGTACTTTTAAAATAGGATTGCGTTCCAAAGAATCCCCGGCAGTCGGACCTCTTGCAGTTTTATACTCTTGAACAATTCCATTGTTTACGAAACACCAGAGGGCGCTATAAAGCCATGTGCTAAAAGTGTTGCGCGAAAAATGGCGGTCGTATTTGAGAACCGTGCTTTTCTTTTGTTACTGTTGCTTTTTATTAGTAAAGGATTTTGCTACAAATTAAATGTTCCGAAGATATTGTTGCCATATCAAGCCAATAGCCCTATTAATTTTACGTTGGAGGCAACAGAAGGCTGTTTTACATGGTAAGCTTAGAGCTAGGCCTAGGCAAACTGAGTTGCCAGCCATCATATAAGCATGCGCGGCGACACCAACGGCAATTAGCAACGCTTTTTTCTGACTAAACTGTGTAGGAAAACCCAAATTGAAAAGGGGTTGGGGTCCTCCCCGGAAAAATGTTGGTTCCTAGATTGTCGGAAATGAGCTTTCCTGACTTCTGAGGTGTCTTTTATTATTAATGACCTTTAACTTCTTCAAAATTTTACCCCTCTTGTAAATAAAAGGTCAGGTAATTTTATCTCATTCTTAGGCCTAGCCTAGTAGGCCTATATACAGTACAGTAGTGTTAAGATTAAGCCTATATAGTGAAAATAGTCAAACACATATAGGCCTAGGCAATATATTATTATACTGTATTCCAGCAATATATTGAGTAGTTGGATACGTAGTCTTTCTTCCATGGATTGATAAACCGATAGGCCTGAAAAAGAACGGGATATGACCGGTTGAGCCGCCCACAAGTTGAGCCGCCGGTAATTTCTATGGAACGCCAAGCGCGTCTCTCAGTGAATGTAGTGCGTCTCTCAGTGAATGTAGTCGGCAAGTTGCCGATGTCATCCAGTGAATGAACCCCCCGGATACCAGCTACATATTCAGCCCACAGTCTTGTCAGTCGTTGATTTGCTCGTATTGCCGTTCGTGATGTATAATTGTGTAATTGAAAATTAGAATATTGATATTTTTATGTACTACATTTTTATAAAAAATATATGAAGTTGTATAATTGCA